TTTTACCATTCCATAATCCCTGATATCAATTGCTACTCCTCCCCTCAGTACCTTCCCCATGTCCCAGGGTTCTGCAATTTGCTGTAACATCTCACAGAACTCATGGGTTCTCAAGGAAATGTTTCACAAGGTTGTGGAAGTTGGCAAGTACCAAATCTACAGTCTAGAGGATTCTCCTCACTCACTCTAAATGGGGCTGTTGACTCACAAAGTTGTGGAAGCTGGTGAATTAGGTTAGGCTGCCAACTCAAATCCCAAGAACTGGAGATCGGATGGAGACAAACTTGATTAACCAAGCAAAGAGTATATCACCCACTCAAATCACCCCGATGGTTCATTCTATACCCAGCAGGATGGCAAAACTGACCAAACCCCTTTGTTAGATTTCTATGTGTGACAGTCACAATTACCCTTGTTAATAACCATTTATAACTGAATCATATAATCTTATCCGCATATTTCCCCACTTTTTCTTACCCAGACCCAAGAGGGAAAAGTTGTTTTGTGGGAATTACAAAGATGTGGCTGGAAGAGACATATTAAATATAAATAATCCATTACACTGCAGGCTCCTTCCAGGTTCATCTAGTCATTGTCCCTTTCATAGGTGAAAAATTAAAAGAGATATTAACAATTAATCCTTCAATATGGTTATTGTTAAATGCCTTCAAGTTGGTTCCGACTCAGAGCAACCATATGGTTTCTAAGGAGTGACTAGTAAGTTCAAACTGCCAAACTTGCAGTTCAAACCAACCTTGCAGTCCAGCACCTACAGCGCCAACACCAGACTCCTTCAGTATGGTATAGAGTTCTAAGACCAAGGTTGCTCAGGTACCTGCCATTCAGATCTGTTGTAAATATCCATTTGGTCTGGTCAGATTCTTCAAACATTTATCTTGTCTTTACCCTTCCTGGCCCCTGACAAAATATTTTTCCTTGCTCTGAGTCTCTCCTGAGGTATCAGTACAATATTAGATTTTTCCTGCTGCCTAATCCATTTATTTAAGGAGCTCTGGTAGCATAGTGGTTACGAATGAGGCTGTGAACCGCAAGGTCAGCAGTTCAAAACTACCAGCTGCTTCGTGAGAGAAAGATGAGGCTTTCTGCTCCTGTAAAGATTTATAGCCTCAGAAACCCTGTTGAGGGTCGCTATGGGTTGGAACTGACTCAACGGCACTTAACAACAACAACAACAATCCATTTATTTATTCCTTAATCTT